AAAAACCTTCAGAGGGTTTTTGTATGGTAAGAACATAAATACAAAGAAATACAAATATTGATTTGACTCAAGAGCTCAGCATAATGTCTACTCTCATAATAATAATTTTATTCAACACGAAAATCTACTACAGAGAGTAATTTTATGGTTGTAAAACAAAAACAGAAATAATACTTCACACAACTAATATCACAAATAACACATTAAACATAAGCTAATGTTATTGTTTAGTACAAAGCAAAACTGAAGTACAGTTCAATCCACCAGAATCACGAATAAAACATTGAATACATGTAACTAAGAATGGAAAAAAAAATACATGAAAATTAGTATAACAATAAAAGTACTGAGCTACTAAATATGCTCGTCTTCAATGTTATCGTCTGTGCAGAGTTTACATATTTTTTTGTTTCTAGGAATTTTCTTTTGTCTGCCAGTCTCAATGAGTAGTTTATGATCAGAAATTCTAAATTTGCAAAATAATTTTTTATATCATTTAAATAATTCTCCATATTGAAGGTAGTTTTAAATTTTCTGTATGAAGTTAGTTTGTTTGTTGCTCCATTCATTCTACTGTCATTAAATAATTCGCTTCTCCATGTTTTTACATAATTTTTTCTGAGTACCTCCCCTATCTTCTTTTTATGTTGTTTTGATAATTCTGAAAGATTGTTGTTTTTAGTTATCTCTTTTATTCTTTCTACCCATCCTGTTTTCCAAGTGTTTATTTCCATAAAGGCAGTTGCTACAATGTTGGGAATTACTGGGGATTGTAGTCTCAACCAATATTTTAACATTTGTGTTTCAATTTTGACATTCAATGGATATCTACCCAGCTCTCCAAGAATAGCATTTTTTGTTGAATTTTTGCCGACACCTAAAAGAAATCTACAGAATGCAAACTGTACACTTTCTATAATGTTACTATGTTTTGCTGATTCTTCTCCCCATACTTCACACCCATAATTAATAATTGGTACAATTAATTTATCAAATAAATTCAATGCTGTGCTAATTTTATAATGTGATGTTAATAAAGACTGCTTTAGTGGAAACATAGCTTTCTCTTTTAAAGTATTAGACGCAGTTTTGAATTCTCCATTCGGCGTAAAAACTATACCCAGGTAACTATCTACTGTGGCAATTTCATTTCCCTCATAAAAGACTGACTTCTTATTTAATGTATGATTTCTTTTATTGAATACCATTAATTTAGTTTTATTTAGGCTTACTGATAGTTTCCAAGAATTGCTGTATTTTGCCAGTGCATCTATACTGCACTGCATACCTTCCTGGGTCTGTGATAATATTAGGACGTCATCAGCAAATAAAATGTACCGGGGTAGTTTAGTTTTTGGCTGTAATGCATGCACATCACGGTTGCCTTTCTAAAAATGGTAGGATGCACCAATTTTTAATCAAATCACAAAAATGAACTGGGCATGCCAGTGAAAAGGTTGATAACAAGTTGATACAAATGTGCATTTATGTACTGGTATATCATTATGTTTTGTTTTAATTTGTTCCTACTTTCAACAAAGTTGGTCAAAACAAAGCATGGTTAAATAAAAACAAACATGGCCGCTAATAGGCAGTTTTGAATCAAATTACAAAACAAACTGACTGGAATTAGTAACCCATCATACGGGTTGTGTTCATACAATGTTTGAATAATAATTGCCAAGCATGTTCGTGACATGTTCAAGTTTTGTGATTTATTTTTTTTGATGAAAATGTTCACTAGTTGATCTAATTTTATCGAAGTCCCAAAATACCTGACAGAACTCAACCTATTATATCCAGCCTTAGTAGCAAATTTAAACATAATTTGTGTTAGTGTATCCAAAAAAAAAGATAAGAGAAATAAAATGGCCAGCAGTCGGCCATATTTAGTCAAACTTGCGAAACGGAATGACGTGCATCAGCGACCTACCATTACTATTAAATGTTCATACAAAGTTTATTAAAGTGTGGTGGTCGTCGCTTCGTGTCTTTTTCGATATGGGACTCATATCGACGTACACAACGCTTATATAACACATTGTTTTTTTTTCCATGAAATTTGACGACACACTGCGCAACGACTATCGGCCTTTAACAATTGATGACATTTTTAAACAAAAATGGTCGCCAGACAGTCAAGGAACACAAAAAAATACATAGATGTGCATACGTATTTCATTAAAGTTCTTTCTGCCAACATTGAGTAAAATCAGTCCAGATATATCTGAGAAATAATGTCAAAAATATAAAAACCAAAAACATTTCAACAAAGAGCTCTAAAAGAACTCATGGAATACATCTCTTAATTTGTAATGTGTGGTTTATTTTGTTGTTCATGTTGTGATGCTAGCCTCTGCAATTGTATATTTTACCTACAATTGTATATTTATATTTTCACTAGGACACATTACCGTAATAATGCATTCACACAATAGCAGGATGCATGACCTTATTGGATCATACACAAAGTACCAGGATGTGTGACCTGAAGAGGTCATATAATAACAATACACATCAGTCATATTAATATCAGATATTTATTTCAGAGTAAAAACAAGACACCACACAGTACATGAAAATTTCCTTCATAATTGTTGTCGTTGTTACCAGATTACACAGGGTTCGTTTTAGACAGGTTTTCAGTCAATCTGTATCAGAAGAAGGTAGAGGTACTGTTCACATCTCGTAAACTCTAACAAGCATTTGTAATGAGATTGGATACCAAGATTACATAAGGTTTGCTGTATTTAACTGGAGTAACCAGAACAAATATACAAAAATCTCTAAATTATTTTTTGGGTGTGGAAAACTGTTTTCAGTTGTTTGTTGTAACTTGGTCTTTTCGCTTGGTCCATGAAAGACCAGTTATACATATGTCCAGTGTATTATCACCTGCAAGTACATATCAC